AGCCATGGTACTGAGGACTGCTGGGGCAAGTCACAACTCCCTGCTCAGTGGTGTGCCTATAAATGAGTAATCTCTGCCTCAGTGCGCCCAGAGCTGCATGCCCAGATTCATTGAGCCATGATTTCCTCTGCTCCAGGGTAACTGTTTTAGACATTCTTGTCAACGTCAAATCCTTCCCTCCCTTTCAGCAAAGACCATGACTTCCTCCATTTAGAAAATAGAACCTAAATGATCACAGGCTCTCCCTCAACTTCCTGCCATCCTACCTAAAAACTCGTCACGACCACCTCTTCCCTCTTAGCTCCTGTCACAGGGAAAAAGAGCCCTCCTGGTCTGATGACCAAGCCTCCAGAATGCTCTGGATCCCATGCCCCCTGCCTTCTCTCCTCCATATCTTCAGTCAACCATTCAATCTTTCTCTCTGCTCTTCCTTAGCATTTCAATGTAGTCAAGCTTCTTCCATCTTCAAAACATTTTTTAAACCTTCCCTCAGGTGAGCTACCACCTAACTTCTCTCTATTCCTTCACTGCCAAGAAACACTTTCTTTGAAAGCCATCGACTCTTCCTATCTCATCTTCCTCATCTCCCATTGGGCATTGACTCCGTCATTACACTTAATCTATTCCTGCCGGTATCACCAGTGACCTATCACTAACCTGCTTTTTGGTCCTATCTAAACTTGGCTGCAGCATTTGATGTTGTTGGTCTCCTTGAAACGTACTCTTCTCTCAGCCTCTGTGACTCCCCTCTCCCCAGGATTTTAATCTATCACTCTAAAATGCCGGTGTTCCCCACTCTTCTGTCCTGGATTGACACCTCTTTTCACTCACCTTGAGTGGTCTTGTTCTCATGGCTTCTTTGATTATCTTTCAGCTCAATCCCCAAATCTATACTTCTAGAACTTTCTCCTGAACGTAAGATGTTTAGAGCCACTTTCTCCTCAATATTTCCCCTTGGAGGTCCTACAGGCACCTCAGATCTTGGCATGCCCTACTGATGACCTTCCATCCAGACCTGCTCCTTCTCCTGAATTCTTGCCTCAGTGAAAACACACCCGGGTGTCCAGGCCAAAACCTTCAGTCACTGTAGACTTTATTTAAAATTTTGGTATGTTATTCATTTTGGATTTTTTTGCATTAATTTTTATTTTCTAAAACAAATATTGCACTCACATATTATTTTTCTTGATTCCTGATAATTTTTGTGCCCCCTTAAATTTAGTGCCCAAGGTGAGTGCCTCACTTTCCTCACCCTAGTCCTGACCCGGCCCTCCAAGTTTGAGTTAGGTGCTTTCATAGTATGAATTACTCTGTGTGATAGATTTCTGTTTCCTTGTCTGTATTTTGACTAGATGTTCATTCCTTGAGAACAGAGACCATATCCAGATCCCAAGGGTCTAGAACAGGGACTGGCCCACAGTAGGTGCTCATTATACGTTTGCTGGTTACATCATTGAAGAAAGGAATAATTGAGTGGGTGTGGGCACGTGTGAAGGGCTATGCTTACAAAATGGAGAGAGCTGGGCAGATGCCGTCCCCTCCTAAGAACATTCGTTCTCTTGAAATGATCACAGCATTAGACAAGCCACCGTGGACAGAGATGCAGGTGAATGTACTTCACATTTATACCTTCTACAACACGATGAGGTCTCGCTACCTGCCAACAATAAGCCAGTTGCCAAGTCTGCTCCAACTCATGGTAGCCCCATGTTTGTCAGAGTAGAATTGTGTTCCACAGGGTTTTCAATGGCAGATTTTTTAGAAGTAGATCAGCAGGACTTTCTTCCAAGGCATTTCTGGGTGGGCTCAAACCTTCAACTTTTCAGTTAGCACCAAGCACATTAATCATTTTCACTACCCAGGGGCTCCCTGAGCCCTCACTAAGAAACCTTAAATATGAGTCTTGCCCCTGGCAGCAGGATCCAGCTCTCACTTCAGATGGTGATTTTATCCAGGGCTCTGAATGCCTGGCTTCACGGAAGTGGCAATCCTTGCCAGGGCCTTGCATCCAGAGAGAGCATGCTTGGGGACATCCTGGAAGCAGGGAGGCCCTGCTGCTAACTTCCCAGGTCACCATGTCTCCAGGGCCCCCTCTTCCTTTCCTTCAGGTGCTCTGAAGCTCTGGAACCTGGAGCAAAGGGACCATCTCCCTAGGAATGGATGGTCCTGGGAATGTATGGCCTTAGTGTATCCCCTCCCACACCCATCCCTGAGCATGACAGAAGCCAGCTTTGAAAAGGGGTCATATGTGTTTTCTTCATGTGTGTGTGTAGAGGGTGAGGCCAAGGGGGCATATGAGATGAGAGGTGGGAGAACTGATCTATACTTGAGATTCATCAGACCTGACCCCTGTTGCCTTTGGACACACAGACCTCCTCCTCCCCCACCCCCAACACTGGAGGACCCTAGAAATTTGATCTAGATGACACCTACACACAATCCCAGTCATAGAGTGCCTTGTCCTGCCAGCTCTCAGCAGAGGGCTGGAGGTCCTGGTTTTGTAGGTAACACTAATGCATCAAGCAAGAGCCCATACAAGGCAGTGCCTCAGGCTAGTATAGGTAACCCTGATTTCCCAGAAGCCCAACAGATCTGGACTTCTGCATTTGCAGAATCATCCCTATTAGAATCACACACAGCAACTTCTGGGGGTGGCTCCTGACATCCCATGATGGTGTCTATAGAAAAGCAGTGTTTCTTTTGGCCCAAGAACCGTGGGAAGGTATCCAAAAAACTTCCCCAATGACTCCAGCTCCCCTCTCTCCCAAATCACAGGAATCTCACAATTCTCACCTCACCATCTGCCACTTCATTTGTTACATCACATCCTTCCTGCTGTACACCCACCTCCTTGGGAACATAATTCCTCCTTCCCCCCCACCCCCGCCACGTCTTTCTTCTCTTCCCCTCTTCCTCTCCATCTTTCTCTCTTCCCCCTCCTCCCTTCATCTCTCATAGCACTAAGAACAGGCCTGGTGAGCCTTGGCCATCACTTGCTGGATGACCTGTTAGAGGCCAAGGTGAGCACTAATCCTGAGACTCCAGAGAAAACTCCAGGGACTTGGCAAAGCAGCTTCCTTTCCGGAAAGATCCTAACAGACTCCCCATGAGGCAGCCAGCCATTCATGCTCACCTAGTCCAGGCTCCCAGAGCACTTTCTTGGAACCCACTCCATGTCTGACTCACAACTGTTGAATCAAATGAACTTTAAAAACACACTTAATGACTCATTTGTTTCATATCACCTGCTCCCAGTTCAAAATGAATTATAAAATATCTTCATGAAAGTACATCCATGTGAGAAGGCAGTGAATCTGATTCTCAGTTAATTTCTGGTTGGGTGAAAGGTGGGCAGCAGATCAGCTACCTCGTCTTCACCTGCCTTTGCTGCTCAGGAATGGATTGGCTACATTTAAGATGTAGCAAGTGACATTTATAACCTGGATGCAGAGTCAAGTTCAGTAAGGAAGTCTCCAAACTTTGGAACGTATTGCCTCCTGCAACAGGTAACCCACCTTCCCTGAGTGAAAATATCAAAGCATCTAGAGCACTTATGTGAACACAGAGGATCAGACACTTGATACCTGGAAGGCCCAGTTGTCCTAGGATGCTGTGTTTAAACAGGACCTTGCAGGGTTGCTCATGAATCTACTTAACATAATTAACTGTCCCACCTGTGTCACTCTTGGCCACTGACTCATGGCAGAGCTGCAACAGAGCACGCAATGTGGACCTTTAGCTCCTGGAGATGTATCAAGTCGCTTTTCGCTTTTTGTCTCTGTTTTCTTGTCTTTCAGAGATCGAGCAGGGCAGTTGCGGTGACCCTGGTATCCCTGCCTATGGCCGGAGAGAAGGCTCCCGGTTCCGACACGGTGACACACTCAAGTTTGAGTGTCAGCCTGCCTTTGAGCTAGTGGGGCAGAAGGCAATCACGTGCCAAAAGAATAACCAGTGGTCTGCTAAGAAGCCAGGCTGTGTGTGTAAGTGAGCGGGGAGGTGGCTGCTTTCAGGGCCCCACAGAAAGTCAGGGAACCCACTTCCCAGCAAGTCCAGGGGCTTCACTTTGGTTGGTTTCTTTTATTCTTTGGGGCAGTACTGGTTGGGTCCTCATTCCTGGCAGTAATGTACACTGTAGCACTGAGAGTGATTGGTCTTGGCATTCAGGGACCTTCTTCAATGCCTCTTACCCTCCCTGGTGATCCTTGAAAGCAAAGTAGAGGCCACTGGGGCCCACCCAGGGATTTTCTCCTCTTCCTTGATGCCACTGCTGACACCAAGCAATCAAGCCAGGGTGGAAGATACTGCAAGTTTGTAGGATTTGTAAACTCTGTACCAGCATCTGGGTACTACGGAAAATCATTCCCTTGACAGGATATAATGAGTTTCCTAAAATCACTTCCTCTTGGATGAGACTTAGGAAGCAACGGGAGACCAAGTTATCTTTGCATTGTTGATCTTTTGGGGAAGGGATTGGAGTTGAGTACTCTGTTCGAGGGAGACAACAGATAACCTCTCAGATGGTATGACCATACTTTCTGGTGCAAATGGGATCTTAAGTCTTGGGTCACAGTGGGATTGACAAGGGTGAGGGGGCTGTGTGTAGCAAAGGGAAGACCAGGCATGGTCATCATTAGGAAATCAAAGGCTCTAGCTTCTCTGGGCTGTCGCTTCTTATTCTCCCAACCCTCGCCACCCCACCTCCTCCATCTCTTTCAATCTGCTTCTCTCAGGGCCAGCCTAACCCTCTGACCCTTCCTCCACATCGGTGGGCTTCTCTGTGCCTCTGAGTTCTGTACATTAGAGGATGGTGGCCCGTCAGGGCTGGGGGAGGGAGTAGCCTGGGAGACTACACTGGAGCAGCAGTGAGTTTTGTGTATTAGTTGGTGAGTTGGGTCATACCACAGTATTAGACTTTCAAACAAACAAACAAAAAAGACTTTGTTTGGTCTGACAAAGCATTTTCGATGACTTGTGAGTTTGTTTATGCAAAAATTCTTGCAGAGGTTTAAAGAGCAAACCACTCTTAGATACACATTTAACAAATCATCCTTACTGAAAAGAATAAAATTGCATGAGATCTGGAGCCCTAATACTGTTAACCTTGTAGCCCACTGGGAGCCCAGGGGATGGGGAGGGGTGGGAAGCATTAGCAGGGAGCAACTCAGGGCGTGCAGCAACAAAGGGGCTGGGAGTTTAGAGACCAAGCCCAGAGGGCAGTGAGTGAAAGGAGTCAAGCTAGGCAGCGGGCAGGTTGGAGGCAGGGCTTCAGAAGGTAAAGGCATAGACTGGAAATCTCCAGTGTGATGGGGCTTACTCTCTGAAATTCATCCAGACAGAACAAAGCAAGGAGAACTGGCACAGCGCCAGGCCCCTGGGGCAGAGAGCTGATAAGAATGATGTGGGAAGCAGAGCCAGCCAGCCACTTGTTGTTCTTGTTAGCTCCTATCACGTTGGCCCCTGCCTCATGAAGATCCCATGTACAACAGGATCAGACTGTTGTGATCCATAGGGTTTTCACTGACTGATTTTGGAAAGTAGATTGCCAGATCTTCTTCCTAGTCTGTCTTAGTCTGGAAGCGCTACTAAAACTTTGTTCAGCATCATAGCAACACGTGAGCCTCCACTGACAGACAGGTGGTGGCTGTGTATGAGGTACATTGGCCAGGAGTCGAACCTGAGTCTCCCATATGGAAGGTGAGAATTCTACCACTGAACCATTAGGATCAGGATCAAGTTCCCTGCCCCACAAGCCAAGAGACACAGATAGCAGAGTGCTGGGGAAAAGCCTTGGGATTAGAGGTGGTGGGTACCACTTGAGTCCTCCAGGAATTTACTTGAGCCCTGACTCTTAGGAGTAGTTTTGGAAAATGTTTTGAGAATCTTCACTAAGGGCAGAAGACCTTGAAGTGCTGCTCAGCAGGCTCCCGGATTCCAGGAGCAAAGCCAACAGCCACGGCGAGCTGGGCACTAATGGCAAGCAGCTGAGTGGGCGAGGGAACGTAGCAGCCCCAGCAAGTATGGATTGGTGCTCTCTGTGGTTTAAAACAAGGAAGTGGAGCCTGAGTCTGAAGATGAGGACTGTGAGCCAGGTACTCTGGGGGACCGTCATGGTATTTCTTCTTCTTGGCGATTATGAGATGTAGGGGGATGGCATCACCAAGGCACTCCGATCACTCAGGTGTGTCTGGACATTTGGGTGTAACACAAGTCTCAAGGATGCTGGCTTCAGCAGAGGAGGCAAGAGAGCCAACTGGCCCACTGCCTTTGTACCACATAGCAAGGTCGATTTGCATTTCATGAAGGCGAGGGGCCACCATCTGTCAGCTCTCTACTGGGTGTCCAGCCCCTAAGCCGACGCTTCCTAGACTTTGTTCTCAGGGCGCTTACAGTCTAACAAGTGGTGAAAAGGAAGAGATGATGGTAAGAAAAGCCTGATGCGCTGAAATAACTTTGGATTCGAATTCTGGAGCCCTGATTTTTAATCCTACTTCACCACTTGACTGTGGCCAGGCCATCTCCTTTCTCTGGATTTCAGTTTACTGATCTACCGAATAGGGTAGCACTCCATTCTGGCTCCAAACTTCTATGCTTCTATGTTCATATTTATAGAAAAAGGTAACTGTGACATGAACAAATAAAAAAAACTAGTTGCCGTTGAGTCAAGTTCGACTCATAGTGAACTTGTGTGTCAGAGAAGAATTGTGCTCCATGAGGTTTTCAGTGGCTTATTTTTCAAAAGTAGATCACCAGGCTTTTCTTCTGAGGCACCTCTGGGTGGACTCAAACCCCAACCTTTTGGTTAGCAGCTGAGCATGTTAGCCCTTTGCACCACCCAGGGACTCCAGCACATGAACAGTCCCAACAGTTTCCACCACAAATGCTTGGAAACCACTTTGTGAAGCAGATCATTACAGAGCAGGTCATACTTTGATTTAGGGATATTAAACTTTGATGTTCTTCTCCTGACTCTAGATCAAATATCATGGTGTGTAATCAATAGCAAAGGCTCAGCATCTATAAACGTCTATAAAAATGTAAAATAGTGAAGTTAGTCTCTATGTTTTATGAAGTGTTCATGTTCATAAATGTACATACAAAATCACCTCTAGCAAAAGGCAGCATAACTTGTTGTTAGACATCATTGTTAGGTACTGTCGAGTCAGCTCCAACTCATGGTGACCTCATGTATAACAGAACGAAACTTTACCCACTCCTGTGCTGTCCTCACAGTCGTTGCTATGTTTGAGCCCATTGTTGCAGCCACTGTGTCAATCCACACCACACATTAATCACAATAAATATTAATACAATATTTAGCAAACAAAAATGTTCTGTCCTTCTTAGAATATATAAGGGACTTGGGGAAATTATTTCGGTGGTTCAAATCTCTTTGAACAATTATCCGAAGACGTGCAAAGTAGTACATTCTTCTTTCCTGACACGTTTTCTTCTAAACAGCTCCTTACCAGGCAACTGCCCTGCCGAGACTCCACAAATACACCCTCTTTCCTGTTCCACAACATTTTCTGTCGCAAGCGAAGACTTCAGAATCATTTCATTGGCTTTTGAGCTACCCTCACAGTGGTTGATGCTCAACAGATGATCTTTTTCATCTAGGTTTTCAAGAAGGTGATGTTTCTCACGACAAAAAGCATTTTTAAAGAAAAGATGGAACCATTTTGTTTCCTCTTACTCTCTCGTAGCCCTTGGTTAATTCACATCTCCAGGAACCACTGCTCAAATCAGTTGAAAATAGTACCACATTCCATCCATTCAGCAGTTTCATTGAGTGTCTACCACGTGCCAGATGCCATGCGTTGGATTCAGAGCTATTCTCTCTGCCTGTGAAATTTGCTTAACCTGGCTGTCCTGGTGAGAAAGCTTTGGCCAGGTTGCATGTATTCTTCACGCTCCCAGAAGCTCTGCGCATTTTACTCCCTTCTTTACAAAAGAATAGGGAGCCTTTCTCATACAACCATGTCCAGTTTTCCTTTACAAGAGATACAGTGGGAAAGAAGATACAAATAACTCTGGTGAAGTTTTGCACAATACTCGATGCTTTGTTGACAGGCGAGCAGAATGCTTCACACTTCATAAGGAAGCCAGGAAACCAATTATCAGTCCATTAGCAGCCACTTTCAAAAGAAGTTTCAAAACAACCTTTACCAGAGATTTGCCAAGACTGCACAAATATGCTCTTTCCTTCGCCATTTTGTAAACCGCCACGGGAAGGTGTGAACCCTAATTGCTCAGCTCCTAATGTATATGGCATATGTGTGAAATGTGAAGGTAGGACCTACTGAGATCTATATAATGTAAGTTCCAAATCTGCAGAATCTTGAGAGATCCAGGGAGGGAGAAGGGGGTGCTCAAAGAAAATATCTCAGAGGATACAGGGCTCGAGGTGGTCCTTGAAGCTTTGGAAAGTGAAGGAGGGTGTTCCACACAGGAATACTAAGGGAAATGGTCCTCTTCTAGTACCCTCCTGCCTCCTCTCCCTGCTCTGCACACACACACACACACACAAACACAGAGCTTCTGAACAAAGGAGTGGGTTGGGTCATAGGGTCATCAGGAAGCTGGTCTCTCCCAAGTACCATTACTCTAGGTCAGAGTTTCTGAACCTTGGCACTACTGACGTTTTGGATCAGATAATTCTTGGTTGTGTGGGACTGTCTTGTGCCTTGTAGGATGTTTAGCAGCATCCCTGACCTCTACCCACTAGATGCCAGTAGCAACCCAGGGGAGGGAGTGTGACAACCAAAAATGTCTCCAGACATTGCCAAATGTCCCCTTGGGGCAAAATCACCCCAGGTTGAGAAGCACTGGTCTAGGATAACCTGAAGAAAAAAGAAAAACCATTGCCATCAAGTCCATTCTGACTCATAGCGACCCTATAGGACAGAGTAGAACTGCCCCATCGGGTTACTAAGGCTGTAAATCTTTACGGAAGCAGATTGCCACACCTTTCTCCCATGGAGCAGCTGGTGGGTTTGAACCGCTGACCTTTTGGTTAGCAGCCGAGCACTTAACCACTGCGCCACTAGGGCTCCTTCCCTAGGATAACCTAGTCTTGTCAGATGCCAAATATGATGAAATCTTTGGATTTGTATTTTAAGTGGGGCTGTGATTAAAGTCTATAGAATCATAACAGGGAGAAATCATGGAGTAGGAAGCAATCCCAATATTAATTGTTTTATCTCATTGGGAAGAGATGAATCTTCCCCCAACAACTTTATAAGAATTGGCCTTTATTCTCTTCATTTTACAAATAAAAATGAAGTTCAAGGAGAGTAGGTAACTAGCTTGAAGGTTATAGAACTGTTAATGGCAGAATATCAATTTGAACCCAGGTTCCTACTCCAAGTCCTACACTCTCTGCATTGCACCAGATTTCTAGAATTCAAGGATTCATCTGCAGTAGCAAGCACAAGGAATTCTTAGAAAAAAATGCTAGGCCAGAGTACAGAAGCAAACCATTGGCTGAGTTACACCCACAAAGTAACAAGAGTTGAGAGGAGTTAAACAAATTCATGGAGGATAGATCCATGACCCTCACTGGAACTCTACCAGTGTTGAAGCCTTTTCCTAATCTTTACTTTTTCTCCTTTCTTCCATTTATCCATCCATCTTTCACTTACTGAGCACCTACTGTGTACAAAGTAAATGCGTGAAAGGACATGTGTGTTTCTGGTTGGACACAAAATCCTAAATTGGAGGACCCCTGGGAATGATCCTGCCAAAGTTGAAGGGGGTGATCTCTTAAGAGTCATGACCTACATAATATGCTATGACTGTTTCAAGAAGTATCTGGAGTTCGAGGGCCAATACTCAACGTAGGTCTTTGGTGTGTTCTAGTATTTGAAAAGTTTTTAAACAAACAAAATACACTTAATCTCACTACATTAAACCAAAACTGATTTCAAATTTGGTTATTCTACATTGATTCTTTTTTTTTTTTCAGCAGATTTTTTTTTCTTTTCGTTGTTGTGCTTTAAGTGAAAGTTTACAATTCAAGTTAGTCTCTTAGATGAAAATTTGTACATACATTGTTTTGTGACCCTACTTGCTCTCCCTTACTGTGACAGCACAGTCTTCTTTTCCATCCTGGATTTCCCCTGTCCATTCAACCAGCTCCTGACTCTCTCTGCCTTCTCATCTCACCGCCGGACGTGAGCTGCTCATATAATCTCATGTAGCTACTTGAGCTAAGAAGCACACCCTTCACAAGTATTATTTTATGTCCCATAGTCCAGTCTAATCTTTGTCTGAGGAGTTGGCCTTGGGAATGGTTCTACATTGATTCTTACGGAGCCCTGGTGGCACAACAATTAAGTGCATGGCCGCTAACTGGAAGATTGGCGTTCACACCTACTCAGAGTCTCCGAGGCAGAAGGACCTAGCAATCTGCTCCCATAAACATTACAGCCTAGAAAACCCTATGGGGCAGTTCTTCTCTGTCACATGGAGTCGCTCTGAGTCGAAATTGGTGCAACACACTTAACAACAACAACATATTGGCTCTTATTCATGTGCACACATACTTGAATCAAAATGAACATACCATTTTGCACTGTTTTAAAGTTCACATTGTGTTATGTATTTTAACATGTTGCTACATGTCTTTCATAGTTGTAGCACTTAACATCTACAGAATACTCTGTCTTGTGAATGGACCATTGCTTACTAATTATGTTTAAATTTTTTTGTGTAAGACTGTAATGAACATCTTCATGCATATGGATTTTTTCCTTCTGTTGATTTATTTCCTTAGGACAAATTTCCAGGAGTGAGGTTATTGGTCCAGGGTATGAACATTTTTATAAAATCTTGATTCCTACTTTTTTATTGTTCCTCCAAATGTTGTATGGTTCATAATGCCAGTAGCAAAAACTGTAAGAGTAAGATTCATAAAATACATTGCCTTCCCATCTAGAAATGTGGCACACCTCTCTTTTTGTTCATCTACTTTTATTTTTTCATGTAGGTCACATACATCACTTAGAACCTTTATTAGCTTCATCAAACCTCCTCAAGTATTTGGTGGTCTTTTAAAAATTGCTAATTTAATAGGTTTAAGTTGTATATATCCCTACAGCACACGCTGTTGACTACTGCAAAGTGCCAGATGTTATGGCAGTGGTGTTGTTAGCTGCTGTTGAGTTGGCCCCTGACTTATGGTGACCCCGTGCACAATGGAACAAAACACTGCCCGATACTACACCATTCCCATGATCAGTTGCAGATCTGACTGTTGTGATCCATAGGGTTTTCACTGGCTGATTACCAGAAGTAGATAGCTAGGTCTTTCTTTCTAGTCCCTATTAGTCTAGAAGCTCTGCTGAAACCTGTTCAGCTTCATAACAACACGTAAGCCTCCACTGGCTGACAGGTGGTGGCAGCGCATGAGGTGCATTGGCCAGGAATTGAACCTGGGCCTCCCGCATGGAAGGCGAGAATTCTACCACTGAACTACCATTGTCCCCACGGATGTTATGATAAGTGCTTTGAATCCAAAGATGAATTGGACATAGTCCTTGATCTCCACAAGCTCTCTCTAATGTGGAGGTAGACATGATGATGTAAATGACAGTGATACCTTGAGATTTAAAATGTAGTTCTTCAATTAGGAAGTATTGGTGATACAGATACATTTAGGATCCGCTCTATCAAGGTTCATTCTCCATTCAGCATATATTTATTGAGCATCTACAATGTGGCAGGCACCATAGTAGTTGTCGAACAGGAGAACAACAGTTCCTCATCTCATAGAGTGTAGACTTGAGGTCTTTTCCGTTAAATAGTTGGGCCTGAAAGATGGGAGGACAAAGTTGGGGCCTTACTGGAAAAGGAGACATCTAAGTGGCAGTATTGGCTTCTGCTCTACCAAGTAAAATGTCCATGGGAGTAGGAAGGCCTGAAAGACAGAAGCCATAGGGTTTGGGCCTCTGTAACAGAGGGTTGTTCAGTGGCTACGCTTCTACTCATGCACACACACGTGCACACTGCCAGTTTGGGCATTTGGGTTTGTGGTGGTTCCTAACAGGGTGGGCTGCTGCCACATGGATGTGAGTGAAAGAAGAGAGATGGGGCTCATGGAGTAGGGTTTGGAGAGAGACTGCTACATACCCACTGGCCAGAGGCATGTCTCTGCTGTGGACGAGAGATATTAGAGTGGTGCCAGAGGGATGTCGGGATTCCCATGCCAGAACGCTGGACAAGGACTTCCGTGCTGGCCTTTCTCAGCCAGACTGGATCCAGCCCTGTGTGGCAGTGATGGGGAGCATTTGCTATTTGCAGTCATTGCCCAGTAACTCTCTGTAACAACACGTGACTCCTAAAAACCAAAAAACTAAACCCATTGCCAGCGAGTTGATTCCAACTCATGGTGAACCCACGTGTTACAGAGTAGAACTGAGCTCCATAGGCTTGTCTGGGCTGTCATCTTTACGGAAATAGATCACTAGGCTTTGTTTTTGCGGCGCTACTGGGTGGGTTCAAAGCTCCAGGCTTTAGGTTAGTACCAAAGCAAAAACCAAACTTGTTGCCATTGAGTTGATGCTGACTCGTGGCAACTCTGTGTTAGAGTAGAACTGCTCCATAGGGTTTTCTTGGCTATAATCTTTATGGAAGCAGATCGTTAGGCCTTTCCTCCATGGTACCACTGGGTCAAGTCAAACTGCCAACCTTTAGGTTAGTAGTTAAGTGCAAAAGGTTTGTACCACCCAGGGACCTGTGTGGCTACTAGGGTGTTGGTATTTTCCTTTTCAATTTGAAGCAGCTCCTTCTATATTGTGGATAGAAACTTTTTGTGGTATTTGATATGCATATTTCCCCAATCTCTTGTTTTCTTTTCGTTTGGCTATTTTGCATGGTACAGTTGTTTTGCATTTTTATCTCGACAAATCTCTCAATATTTGTGATTTCTTTTTAAAGCTGACAAAGTTATCATTCTGCCACAGATCTGAGAAGCAGTTTGTTCTATTTTTGGTTATTTGTCAGTAATTTGATTTTTTTTAATGTAATTCATTAATCCATCTGAAGTTTATTTAGATGAATATGTAATATTGTCCAAACTATTATGTAGTTTTCCAACACAATTTATTAAGTAATTTGGTTCCTTTTTGATCTGAGGGAGATGAATTGTTTTATCACATGCCAAATCCTCACATGTAGTTAAGTCTGTTTCTTGAGTCACCACTTTGTTCTGCTGCTCTATTTTCTATCCTGCACTAGTATCGAATAATTTTAATTGTTGTTTTATTATATGCTCTAATATCTGGCAGGGCTGGAAACTACTCCTTCCTCCCTTAATTGTTTTCTCTTTCAGAATATTCATTGTTATTCTCATCTGGTTGTTGTTCAAGATTAATTTTAGAATCATTTTGTCAGAGTGAAAAAAAAAAAATCCTATTGGGATTTTGCATCTGTGCTCCTGTTAAACTGTAAATTAACTTGAGGAAAATAGGCATTTTTATAATACACAGCCCTCCCATCCAGAAACATGGCATGTCTTCCTTTTTGTTTGCCTACTTTCATTTTTCTAAATATAACAGCTTTGTGGTTTTCTTCTTATAGGTCACGTATTTCTCTTGTTGCCTTTATTTTTAAATAGACAGGTACTTTTTTTCACTTCCCCTCCTACTTCAACCTCTATGCCCCGTGCACAGGTGAAACGTGTCCATGTTTTCTCTGCTCTCTGTGGCTGAAACTTAGCATTCCCTGTAAACATATATTCCCAGATTTCTCAAGATGAGTGCAATTTCAAACATTCTTTCCTTTGGCCCAAAAAGTATGATCGTGCTATCTATAGTCCTTGGAAATTGCCTTTTTCAATTGTTAGATGCCAGAATTGGGATCTGCTGAGGTTTGAAAGCGTCACACTCAGTGTAGGGGATAATGTTTCTTGAAACTGCATGTGATCAGGGACAGGGGCTGTGTTGAGGGCGGTGTGAGCTTCCTGTGCTTGATGTAACGTTCTTCTTATTCCTCTAGGCTTCCTTAAATGTCCCGTTGACCTGCAGGTGGCCCCAGGAGAGGATTAGCAGAGAGTCAGGGGATTGCTTTGGTCCAAATTGGTATTTCAGGCCAATTCCCAGAAACTGAAAACCAGTATGTGCACTTCCAGGACCCCCTTCCTCTGTTAGCCAGTCCTTAAGGACCTGGAGACTAAAGACCTGTAGTCTTGCTTTGCTGCTGATGTGCAGAGCTGGGGGTGGCCTGCTCTTCCGAAGGACTTTCAGTTATCCAAAGGGGTCGTTTCCTTGGGTGGAAAGTCTGTGGTGGTGGCCAGAGTTGGGGAGGGTCTCTGTCTGCTCCTGCACTGCAGAATCTGCACTACAGTCAGAACTGGGAAATGTGTGGGACCTCCGAAGGCCAGAGCTGGGCCTGGATGAAGGAAGGGCCTACAAAGAAGGCCCCTAGATTTCCTACCAGGATGTCCAAGGAAGTAACATCAACACTTGTCCTTCCACGCCAACGTGGGTCGCATATATCACTTGTTACCTTTGTTTTTAAATAGGCAGATGCCCTATGCGGGAAGAGGCCTCTAAATTGAATAAGGTCCTTACCCAGGAGAATAGGGTCTACCCGAAAAGTGTTTTCATGCCCCAGCTGGAGGCTGCAGTTCAGAGAGGGCTTTGCTATACTCTCAGCAGGGACAGAGAGGAAACCAAGAACCAGAGCAGAAGGTCTGTCCCTAGACTTGGGCACATGTGGTAGGAAGCGGTGGAAGGATGGAAGTGTTCTGTAACTCAGTGGGCTTATGGGTGTGTAGGGCTCCCCACAAGCCCACCAGGAACTAGACGTGTAAACACACTCACACCACACCCACTGGTTTGTGGGGATGGGGCATTCCATTGTACTGTCTGGCTTAGCTGGGCTTGACTCAGCTTCTAGCTATAAGAACTTAGCCCACGGAATAAGATCTCAAGTGTACCTGGCAGGGTCTGGTCAGGCAAAGGCTGACAGTACCCAAAGCTAGTATCTTTGGAGGCCTTACCCCATCTAAAATGGACCCAAATCCAGCTGATTATTAGAATCACTCACAGACCTTTAAAAATACAGAATCTTGGCCTCATCCCCAGAATTTCTGATTTACTAAGTCTGGGATGAGACCCATTAATAGGAGTTCTAAAATCTTCCTAAATGATTTAGATGCTAGGCCAGATCTGTGAGTGGTTAAAGCGCTCGGCTCTAACTCAAAGGTCAGTGGTTTGAACCCACCAGCTGTTCCACGGGAAAAAGATGTGGCAATCTGCTTCCTTAAAGATTTCAGCCTTGGAAACCTATGGGCCAGTCCTACTCTGTCCTGTAGAGTCACTATGAGTCGGAATTGACTTGATGGCACACAACAACAATCTGGAGCACCTACTAAAAGGGTTCATCTTCCAGTACTATATCAGACAGCATTGTGTTGTAATCCATAGAGTTTTCATTCGCTAATATTCAGAAATAGATTGTCAGGCCTTTCTTCTTGATCTGAGTCTGGAAGCACTGCTGAAACTTGTCCACTGTAGGTGCCCCTTCTAGTATTTTAAATAGTGGTGTCATATCTTCCAGGATCAGAGCAACACAAAAGCCACCACAGCACAACAAACTGATAGACGGGAGGCGGGACATCATGGTTGATAAAGTAGAGGGCCAACAAAAATTAGGGAAACCCTCAGTGAGATAGATTGGGGACTATCTCAACAATGAACTCAAACAATGGACTCAAACATACCAACAATCATGAAAATGCACAGGACCTGGCAACATTTTATATATATATATATATATATATATATATAGTCGTCTTATATGTATAAGGTTGCCATGAGTCAGAGTCAACTTGATGGCAACTAACAATAACTGAAAGGGCACTCAGTCATTTATTGGGCTCCTACTATGTGCCAATTGCTTGGAAAGACTTTTGTGTCATTCCTGAAGGATTTTGTCCCCTGACAAGATGACAGCCCCATAAGGCATGGGGCTGTGATGCTTCTGGCTGATATGTTGTGAACATGTGTTGTTCCTATGAGGCTGCCTAGGCTGAGGCTGCCATAACTCAGTTATTGTGATGATGAGGTCTCCTGGGGTCCATGAAATGTTGACCTCCCTGTTGATGTCCCAGTGAGAAATGGGATGCATGGTCCAGTATTCTGACATTACAACTTGATGTCAGGGCAGCCTGCCTTTCATTTAATTTGAATGAAGCAAAATGTGGAGGAGGCAATTATGCTAGGCAACAGGGATATTCTCACATATTCTTGGTCTCCAAGAGCTCACAGTCTAGTGGGTGAGATATGCACATACTTTTGATATAAAAGTCTCTGAATTATTGCAATAATTGATATGCTCACAAAGTGCCACCAGCATGTAGAGGAAGAAAAACTCATTCCAATTGTCAGATTCTCAGAAGACATCTTGGAGGATCATAGCACAGACAAAATTCCAGATCAATTCAACCAGAAATCTCCCCAAAACCAAACCAAGCTGAAA